CCTCCCGTGGGGTGGGGGGGGGGGGGGTTGTTGGAAGTTCCATAGGTGATGGCAGTGATCAAGATGTATAACTCAGAAATCACCGGTTATTTCATCGATGCAGGAGTACATGGACTTCATAAGCTACATCTGCAAAGCTTACAAAGGAGCTCCGGTGCCAGGTTGCAGCTCAACTGTCAATGTCATTAAAATGGGAAGGAAATTTACTCCTTTCTGTTTAATGCATACAGCCACTTCCAAGTTATCAACTATAGGTTCAGCTATTACATCATGGATGAACCGCGTTAATCTGGCCGCATCTGCTTAATCCACAGGCTGCTCTATGTGCCGAGTATAATGTAGGGCTCCTTGATGCTGGTCCTTTTTATGAAATGATGAAATACTGTACTTGGTTAATGCATTTGTAAAATACTTATCATGATGGATTATAATGAAGGTGCTCAATTCTCTAATCATCTGTTTATAGGAAATGTTGTAATATGAGAATTTGGTTTAATTGGGTTGTGGAAACAGAAAGTATTAAGTATGGATTTTTAATAAGTTGTCTACATGAAAGCAGCCATGTCTCTGAGCTTGCATTTTAGCAACTATATATTAACAGAGGCATATGGGCAGCTCTATAGACAGCCTATTCTAATGAACGTCAGTGGCTGATTGAACCCGTGACCTACATATTAATAGAGGCATATCCAAGAGCAACTTCTGTGAATTTAGAATAAGTGATCTTATTTTACGCGCACATTTCAATCTTTCGTTCTAATTTCCATATGTATCTACTGAGGAGTGAGGCTACCCTAAATCTAAGACTAAACTAAAACCATTTATTTTTTGCATTCCGCAATATGAAGAGCATATATTCTGACATGCAAGAGTATATATTTGTTAAAGATATTCTCTTACAAGGAATTGCAATTGTTGCATATGATATAACGTGATGAAACAACATAGTGGGCGTTTGGACATAAGAATGGTAAAATTCCTTAAAAAAAAAGTGAAAATGGTATTTGAAAGTTAGAGTTGTGTTTAGACATGAATACAATTTTGGTCTGTTTTGAATTTTTGTATGTGATTTGAAGTGAATATTTTGAAAAATAACTTTTTCTAGTTTTTCAAATTTTTGAAAAATAGTGAAAATTGAAGATTTCATGGCCAAATACTGATTTCGAAAAAGAGTGATTTTTCTTTAAAAAAAAAAGTGAAAAAATTGTATAGCCAAACGTCCCCTTATTAAGCGGATAAATAAAGAGGAATAAATATTTAGCAAACTTTGTTACCGAACATAAAAAGATGTCATGCTATTTGAACTAACTAAAAGAAAAAATGTTACGTAAATTGTGACAAATGGAATATTTATTATTATTATCTGGAGAATCAAACTTGATTTCCTAGCTACAAATGAACATTATTAATTTTAGGGGCGATCACATTGAAAATGCATCTTGGATTAGCTTTTAGATAAACTATAATTCACGTGCAATTCTTTTTATTCGTATACAAGACAGCTAATTATCACATTATTCCAAAAGAAAAAGTCCCATGCAATTATTAAAAAAATAGCAAGATGATTAATTTTTTCAAAATTAGAGTTTTAAACTCCAATTCCTTCACTTTCCTCTTGCAGAAACTCCAGAAAGTCAAAAACTCAAAAAATGGGATCTTCTTTCCAAAAAACTGTATCCATTTTTCTAGCTTGCTTTCTATGTTTCACTCAAATTTCTCCCATTTCTTGCGAGAAGAAAGTGTCCTTGACTTTGTATTATGAAACTCTTTGTCCTGGTTGTTCAAATTTCATTGTTAATTATTTACCTAAGATTTTCAAGAATGGACTAATTGATGTTGTTGATCTTAAACTTGTTCCATGGGGTAATACTAAGATCCAAGCCAATAACACCTTCAAATGCCAGGTCATCCAATAATCTTCTTTCTTTCTTGCTATATTTCTATATTTGTGAGTTAGAGTTGGTGGATTGTTATATTTATACATTTTATAAGTATCTTTTGCATATGTATAATGTACAGCTCGGTGCACTAAGCTCCCGCTATGCGCGAGGTCCGGGAAGGCCGGACCACAAGCAGTGGCGAAGCCAGGAATTTTTCCTAGGGTGTTCAAATTTGAAAGAAGTAAAAAAAATCTTGACAAAAGGGTGTTCAATATATGTTATATACCTCTAAAAATATTTTACCTATATACGCAGTAATTTTCCGACGAAACCATAGTGTAGCTTCGCCCATGACCACAAGGGTCGGGAAAAAGAGTAGTGAGTTTAGATGAACCTGTTAGTCAATAATTTTATCTATTTTTGGGCTATTTTTCTTGGCTCATTTAAGTTATTTTGTGGTCCTTTAATTAAGAGCATAGTGTCAAGCTACAGAGCCAGATTTAAGATTTAAGCTTTATGAGTTCAACCTTCAAAATTCTTCGTATTGAACTTACTGCGTTTTTAAAATTTTTGGTTCATATCTACTATGTATAGCGGCTTTAGTAGTTTTTTACAATAAATTTATGCTCCGCGTCAAAAATACTGCATCCGCCTCTGTAAAGCTCAATTTGAGCTTGATGAAATTCTCTTCGTCATGGTTGAACAAATACAGTGAGTTCAATTGAATCCGTTGAGAAAGGCTAGATCTGTTTCTGGGCTATAGTTTGGCAATTTAAGTTATATTGTGGTTCTTATATATGTGTATGTATTCATAGTATTAGCAAACTTAAGATTTATGAAATTTCTTGTCATGTTTGCAGCATGGTCCAGCTGAATGTTTTTTGGACACTTTAGAGGCTTGTGCAATTGATGCCTGGCCAGATCTGGTAAGCTATTAATCTGAATCGTACCTTCCGGTCATTTGTGTTTTCTGGTTGATTCACACATAGTTCGGCACTTCAGCTATCATAAAATGATTTTCTGATTTTACTAATATAGTGGATGTTTCCAGTAGTTACTTTAACATGAAAATGTACTTTTTGTGACGTTATATGTTATTGTGGATAAAGTTCAGTCACCATATGTGAACTTAATCAAGCTTCAAAACATCACAGTTTGATTAATGATATATGTTTACTTCTAAATCATAATTTTCATTTTCATCGGATATTTGATGCAGAATGAACACTTTCCTTTCATTTACTGTGTGGAAAGTTTGGTCTACCATAAGAATTATACCCAGTGGGAAACATGTTTTGAAAAACTGAATTTGAAGGCAAAGCTTGTTACTGATTGTGTTGGCAGTGGGCGAGGGAAAGAGGTTAGTTCTCTTGGTTGATTTAACGCTAATTCTGTGTTTCTCTTCTTCTTTTTTTGGGTGCTATTGAGCATTTCCTGATAAGTTGGTATTATTTCTGAATTCCATTGCTGTAAATTTTAACTTTGGTGTTTAAACTAATTTAGAGCTGTTTGATATTAATGATTTTATATCATAATGTGCAAAAGGAAAAAGAACTTATTGTTTTACATTGTTCTGTTATATGCTCATGTTATCAAGGTAAGGGTAAGGCTGCTTACACACTACTCTCCTCAGACCCACTTGGATTACACTGAGTTTGTTATTGTTATTGTTGTTGTTGTTGCTATATGTTCATCGATAAATGTTGAGCATATGAATATGAAAAAAGAAAAATTTCTTCAATCGCCATTTTCATTTATTCAATCAACATGTTCAAGAGGAAAATGCTATTTAATGGTACAAGTATACAACTACTTTAGAAATTTCTTAGAGGTGATGGTGAGATTGGAAAGGATTGAAGTTACTCAGGTGTGTTGTTTGAGATAAATGAAATTGTCTAGTGATAACTTGGAATGCTAGTCCTAGGTATCCATTTCATTGACATGGCATCCAACAATAATTAATTAATCTTTGGAGCTCATTGGAAGCAAATTAATCTGGCAATTTGTTTTCAATTAGCATCTTAGGTTGTTCTTCAATTGGCACCTTAGGTTGTTCTTCACTTTGGCTCTGTTTCGTTGCTGTAACCTTTGCGTAGCTTTGTATTTATCATAACTCGCAGCTAATTCACCTTTAGATTTTACATTTGCACTCTGTTCTAGCTTATTAGCAGTAGCACTTGCAGAGTCCCAAGCTCAGTGACTGAATTTGGGTTGCAATAGAAGTAACTAATCGTTGTTTATTTCCCTGTTCAAGGGATTCAGCAATAACCCTAGCACTCATCGAACTTCCGACTGTAACGAGCAGTTGTTTGCGAGGTCTCCCTCGTCTAACCATGGCTATCACTCGCACGACGCTTGTTAGCTTAACATGCACCAAGAGCACCAAAAGCTAGAGAGAGAGAGAGAGTCGACTACGACTTTTTTGAGTTAATGTGTTTCTTTCTTTATCAGTGTTATTATTGTTTGTTCTCTAGAAGTTTCTGAACCTTCACTTTTGCTCCACCCTCTTGTATATGTTTCCTTCCTATTTTCTTCATGCAAAGATATCTGGATGCTGAGCCAGCACCTTGCGAATCATTTGGATAAGTTTTTGGATGTTAATGATATGATTCAACTCTTGAATTTTGTTGACTTGTTTTTCAAAGAGTCAAGTCTTTGTACAGTTTTGCATCCTCAGGCTTTCGGTTTTCTGTAAGTTGATTAAGGTATCTCTACTCAGTATAATGGAGCGTTAAGAAACAAATAAACAGAAGGAAGTACCTTTCTTTAGAATGAGTTTCTGTTCGATTTGGAGCTTGAAGCGAACTTGATTTGTATAGAAATTTGATGGAACAAATTTTATTTGGTCTGATGTTTCATTTCTTATAGTAATTTCTTATGTTCTGTGAATTAATGTTACTTGATCTTATGTGCAGCTCGAATTACGGTATGCGGCTGAGACAAATGCCCTTCAACCTCCTCATAAATATGTACCATGGGTTGTTGTTGATGGCCAACCACTTTATGATGTCAGTTTCTTTTTACTCTATATTTTCTGAACTTGCACTTTGCATTATCTGCTGTTACAGTCCCCTTCTAGGGAGCCCGGTGCACTAAGCTCCCGCTATGCGCGGGGTCCGGGGAAGGGCCGGACAACAAGGGTTTATCGTAGGCAACCTTACCCTGCATTTCGTGAAAATATGTTTTTGAGTTCTTTCCTGGGCAACAACAACAACTCCCCCCCCCCCCCCCCCCCCCCCCCCCCC